ATGTGGCCTCACCAAGGCAGAGTAGAGGGGGAGGAGAACCTCTCTTGACCTACTCACCACACCCCTTCTAATATTTAAAGTAGCACAGCCTTTGTATGAAGGAACTTGACAAATGCCTCTCTTCTGCAGATTGTAATTTTTGAAGAACGCACTGCAGGACGGATAATACAGTCTGTGGACATACCTTATTTAGGAAGGACCCAGTACGTGGACTGATGAGAGCTTCTTTTCTGTGTTTGGTTCATCTTGAATATTCCTGGTTGCATGTCTGGGGACATGATGGCCCAGGCACTTGGGCATGTTTATTTCCACTAGACCCAGGTAAAGGATTTGCTCTTTGGCAGTAAGTTCAGAAGAGAGAATGGGCCCTGAAGGAACCAGAGTCCATTGTTTCACAGAGGGATGCGGAAGCTCATCTCCCTGCACTACTGAGGACCCACAGCTCGGATGGCTGCGCATGATGTTATGGACCGTCTGGTGAATGTGGGGGAGTAAAAAGGTGCTGAAGGCAGGAGAGAGAGAGAGAAAGAAATGAAATCATCTGAACTGAAAGCTGAGCTCAGCTCTCCCGTGACTTTAAAAAATGTGTTACTACTGGCCTCCTTGTTTTTATAATTAGATAGGGAGGAAATAGTTGGTGAACATGTGAGTAACCAGGTGTGAAAAACCATTTTGTTGTGCTTCCAGGCAGAATTTAGCAACTCAGTCTGCAAAGAGACCATTACTTGTTCACTTGTTGGAAGCCAAGTTGGTTGTCAAATGACTTTAATTCGAGCTTTTTTTTTCCACTAAGTTTTACTATGGAGGTTGTCTCTCTCTCAAAAAGGAAAAAAAAAAGTTTTAAAAATTGAAATGTGTTTTGTCCTCTATGAAATAGACCATTCTGTTTCAGAATGAGAACTTCCAAGGAGGAGGCACAGGAGGAGAAAAGAACCAAGTTAGTCTTCCAGTCATCCCTCCACCCTTAATCTCACTGTGAAGCACCTAAAGATGAAATTCCCCCTTGTAAAATGAGCAGGGATCAGATTTTGGTTGGGGTAAAAGTAAACGGGTTGCATACCTAGTTGCAAATGGGAGAGCACATCCGTACTTTCTAGTTAAACCTGCTGTGGTATCTTGGGATTGTGAGTCCTGTTTTCTTTTTTCTTTTTGTCCTCCAAAACAGAAACACAGGATTTAGGAAAACATGACATGTTGGTTGTTTTTTTTAACTCACCAGCTCCGCAGTCACTGAGGAGCTGCCATCTCTTTAGGGAGAAGAAGAGATCAAATTCAAGCTGCAAATCTGCTCAGAGTCTCCGAGAAGTCGCTCAGCCCTTGCTTTCTGTTCCAGTAATCAGAGGATTCAGGCTATGAGAGAAACACCAAACACGTGCACTGTCTCTAAGAATGGAGTTGCAGGGTATTCTGGCTCTTAGAAACCATAATTTTATTTAACAAATTTAAATACAGTTTGTTTAAAACTGAGAACAGACAGTGCAGCTGTAATACACTCCATCCTGGCCAGAGCTGGTCTTACTGAACATCTCTGCTCCTGAGGACCACGGTAACCTCTGTGCAAGTTGGAAGAGCCCAGGCTCACTTGACCAACTTTGAGGAGAGTGGAGCGTATATGCAGGGTTGTGTTCAGGACTTGATCCTTTGCATTTTTTCTGGAAGTTATTTCCTTCCAAGGAGGGAAGGTTGTGACCCAGCAGGGACTGGAATTAAGATTAGTGAATCAAAACATGCAGCTAGGAGAGGACATCAGTTGGAAACTATTTAAATGGTATGAAAACTTTGTAGTCCTTTAAAAATGTCTCTTTCCACTCTGGGGTTTGCAGACTGAAGTGAACTTGGAAGGCTAGTATACAATAACAGAATAAATCTGCTTGAGTGCAGAGAGTTCCTGTTTTAATTACAATATAGCAATACCCATTCCCGTAGAGCAGCCAGAGCCAGAGGTCTCAAATGTTTCTATCCAAGTAGCGCTTCAGCCAGTGCATCTAAAGGAACATTTTTGTAAAGGCTACGTAGCAAGGCTTCTGTGACTGGGAACTAAAGAATGCAACTTTTCCCCAATGGTTTTTGATATACAGTGGGAGAAAATAACTTACCAAAAAAATATTATTATTCTTTTTTTTTTAAATATTAGAAAATACACAATGTCATTAGTCCAAGGGGAGACTTCTGCACTGTGAAGCTAACAAATCAAATCTATAGCATTTTAATAGCTCTATGTGTTAGGGCTAAAAATAACCAAGTCTATTTCCAGGATTACATTTTCCCCTCAATTCAAAGGTGAAATTGTGCTTCAGACCTTTTTGAAAGAATCAGGACAGTGGGGGTTGGTCAAAGGTTTGACAAGAACTATGAAGGGGGAGGTGAGTTTTGGTTTTTTTCAGAGGGGCTGGAGGTAAGGAGAAGGGGTATGTTGTACCTCACTTTCTTGCTCAGCAAGTGTGTCAATCTCAAATACAGAGTTAACCAAGGTAGTAGCACCCAGGTTCCTCTTCTGCATTGCTCAGTCCTGTGTCTCTCACTGAGAAGCAAAATACAGTTTCATCAGAGAACACCCTTTCATCAATGCTGTCTCAGGTCCTTTGATGTTACACAACAGGAAAGAGGTGACTTAAGTTCTACATAGATAGTTTTTCAACCTACCTCAAGCCAGGTGCTGAAGAAACAGAGCACTAAGCACAGGATCCCCTTTACAAGGGTGCTGCTCTATCCATCAGAAGGTAACTCTCGAACTGCTCCAGCGTGGCTTTTCATGCCAGGAGCCCTGCAGTAGTATGGCATGGCCCTGAAAAAAGGGGCTAGGGCTGAAGGATACATTCCAGTAGAATGGTAAATGCACTAAAATCAGCTTTTATCATTCAATCCCTAGTTTTAAGCAGTTAATTTTATTTTTTTAAGAGTGGAAATTGGGCTTTATGTAGGAGCACCCTTCAGAGAATCCCACACCTAATGCTCATGTGAACCAGATCAGGGCTAAACAGAGCCCAGATCTGAGCCTGGATGAAGTATGATGGTGTGTGGCCGTAACAATCTCATTAAAACCCACTTCCAATTATTTTAGCATGGATGAATAGAGAACCACATGCTGTAAACATAAGTCCATCCAGGAACACAGAGGTATGTCAGAG